ATATTTACTCAAGTTCAAATCACTAGCATAGGGCACAATAACATCACAAACTGTCGTTTTTCACCGTGCCATTCACTTTCTTAGGAAAATTAGCTTCCAAATATCAGACTTCCAGAACATTTGGAGATCCAAATGTGTCAAAATCTGCAGATACACATTATTTCTATTCTATGCTTAAAAGTAGCTTGACCAGGTATGTCAAAACGACACAGGAACCACCTAAGAGAGCCCCTACGGCCCAAAGCTTGAACAACTTGAGCAAGAAAATCCATAAGGTAGCATTGGATTACCACCCAAAGTATAAATATATGTCCATTAGTACTAAATGGTCTTAATAAATAATAAAGGGTGGAAAATTGACACATCTCCTGTGTAGAATGCCAATTAATTTATGTAGATACTCTGCCCCTCAAGGAGGTGAATAACGCCCCACTCCTTAAGTTGAGGGCTGTGCATAGTGATTTTCTTTAACTTTGCAGTGGAAAAGTCTGACAAACCCTACCTGAAATCAGATGATCAAGGTTAAAGTCAGTGGTGATAAGTCATGCTGATAGCAGGTACCCTTAATATGATGTGATGAGCGTGGCACTTTATCTCTGTGATCTTCACACAAACTCATAACCCCAGTCTAATCATGAGAAAAAACATCAGACAAATCTCTGCTGAAGGATATTCTGCCATGTACCTGACGAATACCCCTCAAAACTGTGAAGGTCATCAAAATGAGCAAAGTCTGAGAAACTCAGAGCAAAGAGGCACCTGAGGAGACCTAACAATGAACGGGCTGCAGTGTGGTATTGTGGACAGGAAGGACGCCCAAGATCACATGTTATTATTAACTACAGTCCATACGTTATTCAGACTTCTCTGGTTTTTAACCTAATGCCTTACAACAGAAACAGGGCATTACGTTAAGAACCAGAAAAGTCTGAAGAAAGTATGCACTATAGTTAATAATAATGTATCATATTGGGCATAAATGTCACTAATAAACCACACTAATGAAAAATGCTAATAATAGGGGAAACTTGGTATGGGGTGTATGGGAATTTTCTGTACTATCTTTGCAACTTTTCTACAAAGCTAAGTCTATTCTAAAAATTTTAAATATTAATTAAAAAAGTAAAAAGCAGCCAATCATTAGAGCATAACAGCTTAGTACATACATTCAAATATATGAGGATCATAAAAATATAGGCAATTTGATACATGTTTCCTGTTAATGAGAGACAATGTGCTTATATATTTTTAATAGTAATCAGAAATAATTATTTTAAGGATTCACACAAAATGAGAAAAGGTCATTCTGATTACAATATGTTTTTAGACATGTATATTTGTTATAGAAGTTAGGTTTGATAACTCATGCTGATGTTAATTTTTAAAAATCACTGGTAGAAGTCACTGATATATGCAGGGATTTTAAGAGCATAAAGATTGATTAAACCATTAGCAATATACAAGTGCTTTACTATATCATAAACTATTGAGCATAAAAATGTATATTTATAATATGAATTCCTCAGAGAATTCTTCCCTAGTTCTATGCTTGCTCTCCTGATCTATCTACAGGTTGTTCAGAGGAACATGTTGTTTAATACCAGGAGTAAAAAGATCTTCCCTTCAGAGTGACATGGAAAAGTGCTGGGCAGTTAACAGAGCAGAGTCAAAATTATTACAACTTATTTGAAGAATTGGACTATTTTCTACTTAAATTTAAATTAGCCATTTCAAAAACTGAAATAATGCCACAGTTGAAATAGTGCAAAAATTAAAATAATGTTACAGTGTTCTGGAAACAAGCATTTATAAAGACCTCAACTTCTTTGTTTTTAGATAATGATATTCTAGGTTTGTTTGCTCACTGTAAAAAATTCTAATGCCCTCACAGTCCAGCACAGGAACAAAACAACAGTCCAGTCCCATGGTTATTTTTGCAGTGTTTCTGTTTCCTATATTGTACTTGAAATGCTTTTCAGATTGTTTAATGAATTTAGACTTAGAAAATAAATTGAATACTTTCAACAACTCCACAAAGTACACTTGAGAACATGAGATATCTTCAGAAACCTCCAAAATAATCAGAATGGCCAGGGAGACTTCCTGAAAACTCAGATGAAGCTTGATTATATATGAAATTATTTGATATAGAAATGCTTAAAATTTATCAAATAATGTTGCTGAAGAATGCCATGTATTACATTGCTAATATTCTTCTGCTTAAAAAAAATCCAGGAGGCACTTATCTCAAATGCAGCACATTCTCCTTTATATAACATCTTTAGAACGTAGTCATTTCATATCATCTATCACCTCTGCCACAATTTTCTTAAGATTTCTAACCTCTCAAACTTACTTCTCTTATTACAGACCACATGATTTATGAGTACTGAGAGTTACAGAGACAGCTGTGAGATTAGCGTTGTAACCTATCCCAGATCACCTCAGAAACCGTTTCTTCTGAAATGTACTGTCACACTGAAATGAAATTACAACATATTTTGGGGGCAATTCTGGCATGTACTTTTAAACTTACTCACTCAGTTGTAAGGAAAAATAGAAAAAATATTGCTACATTTATTTGCATTGACTTCCTATAAAAATAATGTGGAGGTTTAATCAAAGATTTACTATAAGAAAGAATTTCCCTTATCTAACATCTTACATATTTTCTATATGTATGTACATAAATACTTAGAGGAGTCATTGAGAAAGGAGACAAATGTCTGATTTTAGCATTCCATCGAAAATGCATTCAATCCATCCTTCTGTTAATGATTGCGTGCTACAAGAGTGTTTTAAACTTCCAGGGAATGATGAAGTTTAACAGTACATTTTGATTTGGTATTAAGTACTAAGTACCTGAGGAGAAAACTATGAGAATGTGTTGCTTAAAAAAATTTATAGGGTGATATTTGGGGAATAGAAATATAATAGATTTATAGCAATGCCTTATAGCATTTTCTTTTTCCTAAATGCTCACAACAGATACCAAGGTGTGTAAATTGCTTATTATTCCTGAGCTTTTCTGGTAGAAACCTAAAATAGAACAGTTGGCTCCATCAGAAATAGCTCTGATCCTTCTAGAAGAGAGAAATGCTGGAGTCCAGGCAAGGAGTGTACTGAAGATGAAGAGTAGCCTGACTGAATTAATAGCTATTGCCTACAAGCCTTAGCCACCCTCCAAACTACCATATGTGTCTTTGCTACTCAAAGTGTGGTCCACAGACTAGTGGCAGCAGCACCCTCCAGGATCTTGGGAAAAACAAAAAATCTTGGTCAGGCACAGTGGCTCATGCCTGTAATCCCAGCACTTTGGGAGGCCAAGGGGGGTGGATCACGAGATCAGAAGTTCGAGACCAGCCTGACCAACGTGATGATACCCTGTCTCTACTAAAAATACAAAAATTAGCCAGGTGTGGCGGCGCGTGCCTGTAATCCCAGCTACGCAGGACGCTGAGGCAGGAGAATCACTTGATCATGGGAGAAGGAGGTTGCAATGAGCTGAGATTGCACCACTGCACTCCAGCCTGGTGACAGAGCAAGACTCAGTCTCAACAAAACAACAAAACAAAAACAAAACCCCAACAAATCTCAGGCACGAGCCCAGTCAAGATTCCCAAGTGCTTCATACTCGCATTGAAATTTGAGAAGGGCTGACCTATACCAATCCTGGTTATTCTCCCTGCCTACATAAGGGAATTAACTTTGGACATTTAAAAAATATTGGTGTCCAGGCCTCACACTAAGACAATGATGGAAGTTCAGAGAGTTTAAGTGAATTTCCCAACATCACACAGCCAGCTCCAAACATGCCCACAAGCCCAGACTTTCTAACCTATGCCTTACCTGTAGTTATCCCCCATTAAATCTTAGGAAGTTTAGATTTCTCTGAAAGTTTTACAATTCTCATCCTTCACTGCATAAAGGGTTTGGGAGTTTGCCTGCTGTTAACTGGTAACATCAATTTTGAATTATTTTCTAAGAGTCATATCACAGTTGTACCTGATGCAAAATAGATTGGTTTTACTTCACTTTCCAATAGAACCTGCACTTTTAATCACGAATTATGAATAAATATCATTTTTACATTAATGATATTAAAAATCACAATATATTCTGCAGCAAACACCACAATAATTAAATATAATAAAGCTCTGAAAAAAAATGATTGTGATTGCTGAAAAAAACAACTGTGACAGTGAATCTTATGTGTCACCCTGATTGGGCTGCTGGATGGCCACAGAGCTGCTCTGTGAGGGCATTTCTGGAAGAGGTTAGCATTTGAATCAGTAGAGGAGTAAAGAAGATCCCCCCTTATCAATGTGATGGGCAGCATGCCATCCACAGACGGTCTAAACAGAACAGAAAGGCTGAGGAAGTGCAAATTCTCTCTCCTTGAGCAGGGTCATTCATCTCTCTTACTGTGGGATAGCAGAGCTCCCAATTCTTGGGCCTTTTGAGTACCTACCCCAGTTCTCAATGCTAGACTGAATTACGCCACTGGTTTTACTTGTTCTTCAGTTTGCAGATGGCATACTGGGGGACTCCTCAGACCCCATAACCACGCAAAGCTATTTCCATAATACATCTCTCAAATCAATCTCTCTCTCCCTGTGTTTCCCCCTGAGACTGTGTGTGTGTGTGTGTATGTATGTATACATATCCTATTTGTTTGGTTTCATTGGAGAACTCTAATACAAAACCAAATTAACAAAAAATCAGTTAAGAAGGTTGACGTCTACTCTTTTATTATGTGCTTAACTACCCAGAATAAGCATCAAGCAGTGCTGATTTGTTTAACTGTGACAGTGGTAGGGATGGGGGACTACATTTGTTCTAAAATCAACTAGTTTCTGTTGGGTTTTCATGCCCATTTTAATTGTCTATGTTCCTCTATCCAGAGACGTGGTAGTACAGATGCGTAGTTCTTATCTGTTGACATTTGCTTTAAACATATCCAGCTTAACAATATGGTTTATTGTGCTCTTTCTTCCCAGTTTTACACACATTATAATGCATCACATCTGGAGTGACATGGGGAGAGAAAACTATGTGAGCTCATCAGCTACTGACTGTCTTGACCTCAAACATTTTCCGTTGCTACCTACTTTCCTCGAGAGTGGATCTATTCAGAAAAACCAAGGCTGGCTGGATGGAGGATTAGAGGCTGCTTCCTCTTTCATGCCACTAAGGTCTGAACCAGCTGAGTGTCCCTTTGATATCACTGTAATCCATCTTATTTAAGGTGGAGCATTTGATTTCTTCACCACCAGGCCTCCCTTCCACTTCAGGAAATAATCCTCTTTCAATCTCCTGCTCATTGAAATAAAAATACCATCTCATATTAATACCATCTTTCCTGAAGAAGCTCAAATCATTTTTCAGAGATTTCTCTAATCCTCACAGCATTCCTATAAGGTAGGTAATGTCCATACAACAACTCTTCTCTACCAAGTCAGAATGATTATGCAAGGGTATTAGGTGCCCATGGGTATTAGTGACTTTCATTTCCCCTAAAAATATATTTACTGGGACTGAAGCAGTGAATTTATTTCATATATATATATATATATATATATATATATGGGCTTAAGGATAAAAATTTGACTTGGAATAATGACTGTGTTGTCCCTGGTATTTTGACATTGATACAGATACATTGCTTCTAGCAAGATACAATGTAACTCATTCAGATAAGGTGAGTGTAAGTTTCTAAACTGGCAGATATTTATTGGATTGAAAATATTAGGGATATTTTATGGATTCTATACAAGAATATTTTTGATATAATCATTACATTTAAAAAACCATCTTTTCTGGAAAAGTTATGATTACTATAAGGGAAAGTAAATTTTAAAATGCTTAGATTCTTTAGTTTGGAGATAAGATTGCAATTTCACGTCCCAATAATTTGATCTTTAGGCATAATATGTATATTTACTAAGACTAAACAATAAGATATGCATTAAAATTACATTTCACAAGATTTAAATTGGCTAAAGAAATAATACCTATTAAATAGAGCATTTTAGGCATGTTCAAAATATATTTTTAGGTAATACCCAAAAGTTAAACCAAAGACAGCCTTTCCTAGTATAGAATAAAGATAATAATTTGTTAACACACGTAGTGCTAGCTATGGATTAGCATTCTTAGCATATTAACTTACTTCTTCTCCTAAGCAACAACCATCATCCTTGTCCAGAACAGAAAATTAAGGCATGGGTTCCATCACTAACCTAAGGCAGGATACTGTGATTTGAACCTGTACTGTATAGCTAGCGAGCTTTCAATCTCTAATCCTACTGTTTTGTGTATATTTTTACTCTATGCCTAAAGTGGAAGCCTATCCGTAAGGACACTGTTTTTAAATTAAGAAATGTTAAGAACGTTTTATAAAGTAGAAAAATTGCTATAGTTGATTGCACAATATCCTTCCTTTCTGAGGAACAAAGCTAGATAAATCCAACGTGCATTGTGTACACTACTGTTCACAGGTGGTGATACTTTCTTCAAAAGCCCCTTAGAGTTCTACATGCTGTCCTCACGTAGTTTCTGTTGATGGACAGCCCTTCACCTTCTCTTGTCCCCAGCAAGTGATATCCTTATATTCTCAAGGGGAGGACTGGAGGTTTGGATGGATAAATAAATAGTCTTTTTAAAAAGCAAACTAACAAAAACCGTAACTGTCTTTTGTGCCACAATGTGGAAAATGAAAATCTCCATGAATCGCAATTTAGAATAAAAGTAGTAATACTCTAAATGACCCCTTTAAAATAACAGATTAGTTCAGTTAAGGTTTAGGAATAGCAAAATTTAACAAATTTAAATTATAAGTAGAAATATTTGGTGACATGATTAAAATATAGTTCTTTAATAAAATCATAATAACAGACACGGCTATCATTATTTAATGTGAACTATAATCCAAGTACTTTGTTAGCTGTTCATATTTACGATAAAACATTCCCACAAACTGGGCACAATCATTAAGTTCATATTTCAGATAAGGTAATTGAGGCTAAGAGAAAGAAAGTAAACAGATCAAGTACATAGAATCAGTAAGTGGTGGAATTGGTAAGGGAAAAATTCAAAATCAGTCTGTCTAGTTCCTATGTCTTAACAATTGTATTATTATAAAAATGCTGATAAGTTTCTGAAACAAATATTTCACGTAAGCACACTTAAAATGGCATTTCAAAGAATATGAGCTCAATTCAGATATCAATGTTTATAGTGATTTCACTTAAAATTACAGCCCAATATCACTCATGAATAGAAACATTTTAAATGAAAAATATTAACAAAACTATTACAACAATAAAAATACATCATGCTCAAATGGGTTTTATCCAAGAAAGACAGAAATATATCAATATATTGACATATGGAAAATAAATTAGTTATATTCCATATAAATAGATTAAAGGTGGGGAAATATATGATTCTGTCAATAAATGCAGAAAGATAGTCAATAAGATTCAATATCAATCCATGATTAAATCTACTTAAAAAACTAAAAGTGGAAGAGTCCCTACTAAAGATGATAAAGGATAGCTATAAAAACCCTACAGCAAACATTGTATTTAATAGTAAAATGTTTAAATGCATTCCCATTAAAATCAAAACTGCAATAATGCTGCTTGCACTGAGTATTATACTCAGAGCAATAAGTCAAGAAACAAAAATAAATATAAGGATTTGAAAAAAATAAATAGAATTGTTAATTTGAAGATGAAATAATTGTTAACCCCTAAAACTTAAATATCTGCTGAACAAAATATGAACACATATAAGGCATAACAACGTGACTGGGTATAAGAATAAGTACAAATATAAAAGTAAAATATATATCTACAGACTAGCAGCAAATTATATAACTTATTAAATAAAATTTAAAATAGCAATACTATATACAGGATTTAGAGATTCCTTTAATGAAAGTCTTCAGAAACCTTTTTAGAAATTTGGTAAGCTGCTTTTAAAATTCATCGAAAAGCAAAGGCCCAAAAATAGCTGAGACATTTTTGGAAAAAAAAAAGGGTCCATGAGATATCAAGACTTATTCAAAATGAGGGAAATTATAACAATTAAAATGATTTGATAAGAGTTCAAAAATAGATAAACTAGAACAGAATCAAAAGTCCCAATCACACTAACACGTATGGAGTGGCGTTAGATTACTGATGGTAGATTAAAAAGGAAATGATAAATTGTTTCATAAAAAGATTCTTGGACAACTAACCTCTTTAGAAAAGGGGAAGCTGGATCCTTACCTCACATCATACACCAAAATCAATTTCAGATGAAAGAAATAATTAACTCAAAATGGCAAAACTTCAAAAATACATAGGAGAAAATGTGTAATGATGGCTTTATGAATTAGGGTAAGGAAAGAATTCTTCAGTATAACCCCAAATTCACAAACCAATAAAGGAAAGAAGTGACCAATATGACTACATTGATTAAATGAAAATTAACAACTCTGTTAAACAAAATACAGCAGAAATGAAGTGAAAAGCTGAACTATAGTTTGGAAAAATTACCTTAAAAACACATAACCACTTTATATATATATACATATGTGTGTGTGTGTGTGTTTATGTATATATATGTGTGTGTTTATGTATATATGTGTGTGTGTTTTATGTATATATATGTGTGTGTGTGTTTATGTATATATATGTGTGTGTGTGTGTGTTTATGTATATATATGTGTGTGTGTGTTTTATGTATATATATATGTGTGTGTGTGTTTATGTATATATATATGTGTGTGTGTGTTTATGTATGTGTGTGTGTATATATATATATATACACACACACATATACATATATATGTATGACTTTTATATGAAAAAAAATGCCCAAAAAGAAAAATGGAAAAATAATATGAAAGACACTTGTCAAAAGAAGAATCCATAACACCCTTAAATATTAGATGAACATCATTGGTAATTGAGGTACGTATGTTAAAATCTCATGGCATGCCATTTTTTTTCCACTATATTAGAAAAAAATTTTAAAGTCTTTCATACAACTACTGCTGAAGATGTGGCACAACGGAAACTTTTAAACTGCCCATGGATATATTAAGTTTTTAAAAACAAATTTGGAAAACAATTGGGTTTTATCTTAGAAAACCGGTAGGCTCAGACCCTGTGACTCACCAGTTCCATATTTGGCATATACTTATATTTCTCTGTTTTATTTATATTCATTTTATAATGACCCAAAGTAAAAATGTACATTATACACATGCATTTAAACATATGCAGGAAAAGTTTTAGAAAGTAATATTTATTATTATTATGTGTTATAAACTTTGATATTTTCCACACTATTCAATATCATTTTTTAAAAATACTGGTTTTAGCTGATTTTAAAACACACTACTGGTCACAGCTCACAGCCTATTAAAAACAATATAACTATGAGGATATAGTAAATGCATGTTTGCCTTGGTATATTTCACTTTGTGTGGACCACTTACAGCTAATTATTCTAGTTTTCTGTACCTTTAGACTTTTTTTCTTTAAATAATCAGTGCCTCTCTACAATGGGGTAGATTATAAATACTACTTTTAAAATGACTGAAATAAGATATAATCATCTTACACAATCTTTACAATGGCGTAAGATGAATCAATAGATGACAGAGTGGTGAGATTACTCTTATTGCAGAAAGCTTCCCTGATGAGCTCAGTTTAACCAGTGCTCTTCCTGTGGAAATAGGGAAGGTCAAAAATCATTGTATCAATAGAGATATGCATAAAAATCCCTAACTACTTAGTGCTATCATTGAAACAAATTTAAGATTTGGGGGATGAGGATATTATAGGATTTACAATGTAGACAATCACTGAGTAGCTAATAACAATAACAAAAATGGTATTTATAATAAGAATTCAGCAACAAAAAGGTAGAAAAAAAATAACAAAAATAAAAATGCCTACTAAACTTTCAAGTCCCAATCTCTCAGTAGGTGTACATTGAGCATGAATGATCGGGGTTGGCTAAAACCACGTATTATTTTTTTCTTTAACTTTTAAGTTCAGGGTACATGTGCAGGTTTTTTACATGGGTAAACTTGTATCATGAGCCTTTGTGGTACAAAAGCCCATCCAAACTGCTGAAGGAAAGAGTTGAGTAGATCTATGTTGAGTAACCAACCAGTAGAGGATCCAGAGTGACTGTCTGAGGTATCAGGTCATTCAAAACCCATTAGTGAATGCCTGCTAAGGAAATGGTACTGTGGTAGCCTTTGGGAACACAAAGACAAATCCTGTGTCCATGAGGAGTGTGGCAGTGAAAAGAGACTCTCCAAGAATAATTATAACACACTA